TTAATATGCATGGTTCATATTTTGTAGTTATCATTAGACCTTAATTATTTGTGCCCATTTTGATAACAAAGTCTATTAGTTCGATTCCCGCCGTGAAAGTCCAGCCAAAGAAATTAGAGATGTCATCGACACGTTAGTTTATATTTATATATTTATTACGTGTAAAGTTTATAAAAACATGTTCTAATATCATTTCTTTTATGGCTGATAGAACTTTTCATAGTTTTAATGTTGTGGCCAAGGAGTGAAATATGCAATGACTAACATGGATTCTCCCACGAATATATTGTTTTGATCTCAATTTATGCCTATAAATCTTTTCAATAATCAAAGTTAATGTTTATAATCAAAGTCTGATATTCAATTTACATTTCATTTTGTTAGTACCGTTGTTAACCCGAGAGTGTTGAATATGAATATTATGTCCTTCGCTACATGAATGACATTATTGAGACATGGGTGACTGAAAAATTAAACGAGGTAAATATATATTCTATTGCATGTAATTCTTCAATTCTTTTCACATTTTTTATCAGATTGACTAATGACTATGTTATTTTTAATTTACAGGCATTTCAAAATGCTATGCCATATGACATGGAGGAAATCAACTTAATGAGGAAAACTTTGTTCGCAACATTGTTACAGAATTTTGAAAATGTGAAATAGTTAGGTCATTCCTCACATTTTAGTTCTATTAACTAGTTGATTATTTGTTAGATATATTAGGTGATTTAATAAGAATTCGATGTTAGTGTTCATGTGGTCATCTTGAAATTAGTCTACATATTCTTCTGTTCTGCTAGTTGATTTGGGTTTGTAAACTGCAGAAAGGTACTAAAAGAAATAAACGTAGAATTTTTTTTAAAAGAAAAGAGTTTTTAACTGTGGTTATTCAAATAACCGCCGTGAAAAGTAGAATTTTCATAGTGATTTTTTGTAAAATCGCCGTGAAAATTTAACTTTCCATAGCGGTTTAATGTAAAACTGCTATGGAAAAACAATTTTTCATGACAGTTTACAACCACCTTGATTTTCTCATTTCAACATCGATAGTATCTATACCGCCTCTAAAACCGTCGTGAAAAACTTTAATTAACCGCCATTAGAATCCCTTTTTCTGGCAGTAGTTGGTAAGAAATATCCACTAAGTCTTTCATATAAGTATCCACCACGTCACTAGGGGGTGTATCCAACCTGTTCAACTCATTTAATCTTTCCCATCCCAAAATATAAGCTCACCTAGGATATTAATGTTTTTTTTCCAATTTAGTTCTGCTTGAAAATATGTAGTCCCTTGCAAATGTAAAGCATCGATATCTTCAAATTTAACAAGAACAATGTCGGAAAGTATTATTATTGTTGTTGTTGTTGTGAGTTAACTTTCATTTTGCTGCTTTATTTCTCTTTATCCATATGCACGTAATAAGTAATCCGACAGGAGAGTACAGGTGAGGAAGACTTTAATATTGACCTGGGTGGTTGAGAATATAATGATAAATTCATCCCAATAAGGTATGCACCACTCGTTTTCTTTGTCTTTATTTTGGTGTCATCAGACTAAAATTGGAAAACGGCCAGCCCGGCTCTGTAAGGTTTAAAAAGACTGGTCCTATAAGGTCAAAATTTAAAAAAATACCTTAATTTATTAGACCTGGCTCTTAAACAGATGGATTCAGAGTCGTCCTGCAGGCTTTCGGCCTGTTTTAAAAAAAATTATTTTTCATATTTTTCATATATTTCATCAAAAAATGAAAATAAACCAATAAAATTATTAGTAAAAGACATAAATATGAATAAAATTAAGACACAAATATAAAAGATCATCATATCTAAATGTCCATCATTATACAAAAAATCTAAAACATCCATTAGACATAACAAGTCAATGACATTAACATCTAAAAATTCCATTAAAAATAGACAAATGTTTTCACTAAAAAAAAAGTGGACAAAAACTATCATCACTATTATTAATTGTAAGAACATTTGATTGTGCTTCACTCGTAATAGGCTCTTCTTAACTTCTAAAAATATCAATGATTTCTCAGGCTTTAATTGTGAAAATCACTTTACTGCACAGTCTCATGGGAAATCTAAAATATCTTAGCACTTTGGATTGATCCATAGTATGTTTTTAATGAACTAACTATGTTTTTTTTTTTTTTGGCTTTTGTTCAAGATGGTCTTCTTTGGTTTTGTCTAATTCGCTTGTCTAACTCTATTTAAATATACAGTAAAAATTATGACATAGTCACTATTGAAAAAGTGTTACCTTATTTATTAAAATTTTATAACATATATACAAATTGATAAGTATATGTTGGTTCAATCATTAAAATATTTGTTTTATTATGGGGAATATATTTTGTTTATTTTAATATATAATTTTTGGTTCAAATAAATACAAATTTGAAATCTGATTTAGGATATGAAGAATATATTTTTATTTATTTTAATATCATTAGAGATTGACATGTGAGTTGAGAGTGAGTGAAAAACTAAAAATGAAACTTAGGGAGAGTGTGTAAAATGTTAGGGATTTAGGTTAGGGTCAAGAGAAAAAAAATAAGTTAAGAAAAAAATTATTGTTGGCGGGATTAAATGAGTCGGCCTTTTATTTTTGAGTCTTATAGGGCTGACCCTTTTAAGTCTAAGTTCTTTTTGAAGATCCCAAATTACAAGCCCAGCCCTTAACTTAAAAAGACTTAAATAGGCCGGCCCAACGGGCTCAGCTTGTTTTCTCGGCTTTACATTGGATGACACTGATGTGTAAACAATACTTTCAGGACCATGGTGATTAAGCTTTTGTCTATATAAAGACTCTATGATGGTTGCAAAAAAAATTAAAGCAAGATGGGTGTGATGATATTGGTATTGTTACTATGCTTTAAGAGACATTATGCTTCCAGCAGATTAATATAATAGAAGAGGAGAAATGAGCTCTGCTTCAGGCCAAATAATGGGATTTTAGTGATAACTTCCCAGACGACCCTTGTCACTGAGAAGGCATATATTGCAATGAATTTGGAAGCGTTATTGAGATGACTTAGTCAATGATCACTTCAAAGGACCCTCGGCTAGCAGATCTAAACCTCATTGCATTTCCCAACCTACAATATTTTGCTCTTCATGAAATGGGTTTGATAGGCACTATTCCAGCTTAGATAGCAACTCGCCATAATCTCAGGCATTTGCACTTGTTTCATAATAATCTTACTAGTAAGTTGTATAGCTTCTGCTTTCACTCTTACCTTGCAAAACTCAGTCAATTTTAAATTGTCATATTTACCTCCACACAATCTAATACATCTATTGACAAGTACCATTCTAATGTAGATAGGAGCCCTTCAAAATCTTACCATTATTTGTTTCAAAACAATCTTGCTAGTAAATTAACGAACATTTACTCTTAACAAAACTCACTCATATACTGGCAAGTTAACATTTATTCTAGCTTCTGTCGGTGACCTTTGATGCATCAGTGGGATTAGGAGAACTATGTTTGTGAATTTCGGTTATCCGGTTTTTAAAATATTGATGATCTATCACTTCCTTTTTCTAGAATTTCAGAAAAATGCAAAATAAGAGGAGGCAAAATTAATAGAAGAGATTGAAAACCAAACTAATTTTTTATAGATAAGTTATCGGGTTTTGGATGCTCCAAATGTTTGCTCGTAATTTTTATTAGGACAGTTGCAATAGGCAGAGATGATCACCATTATCCTCTCCTCATCACTACAATGACATTATGGACAATTATAGTTTCAACTACTTAAATTTATAGTGTTTAACCAATGATTTTTAAGTACGTGAAAAATTATTTTCTTGAAAATGTGAATAATTAAGATATTATTTATATTTTAAATTTTTGCATAGATAGAAATATAAAATTATGTAAAACATAAAAATAAAATTATATTTAATCTAGATCGTTTAATTTTATTTTGAACGGTCGAAATTTCCAAACTGAATGCCCTGTATACGGGGTTAGCTGTATTTATCGATTAATTCTCTAGCATGTATTGCTTCATTTGATTATTTTTATAAGGCTTTATTAACAACTTTGTAGAAATTTAAAAATTTAGTTAAAATTGGTCCAGGTTTTTAATATTTAAAAATTAACTAACATGGTTTTGTCAAAAAAAAAAAATCAATGAAATCTCCTCTTCCCATCACACACGTCATGGTTACGTCATTTTGTCGTGGGGCATACTGCAACTTTGACGTTAATGATAGCTTATAAAAAAGTGTTTAGAACGTAGAAAAAGAATGGGTAAATTTGTGAGTTTTGTGATATCAAATTAAAAGCACCGGTCAAAATATACAGTACTCCCTCTAATCAACTGGTGGAATATTTACAGACTCTTCAGACGACCCTTGTGAGTATATTGCAATGATAATGGAGTGTCATTTGGATAACACCCATCTATGGATCCATTTTTCAAGCCAGCCTTGGCTAGCGGATCTCAACTGCACTACATTTACTAATGTTACAGAATTGGATCTTAGAGAAATAGGATTGATAGGTATGATTCCAATTCAAATAGGATCTTAGAAAACAAGGAAATTAAAGCTGAAATACATGCATCAGCTTGCGATACAATTTTCTCAGTAGCAATATTCGAATGGAAGTTTCTGACTCTTTTCCACACTACATTTTTAATGGTAGTGCAAAAATACTTGGAAAAGAGGAGATTCACAATTGTTCTAAAATTCCTTTTTTGATAAGAAATAATGTAGAACACATTTATAACTCAAATGAATAGCATTGACCGGTACTATTCCAACTCAAATTAGAGCTGTTTCAAATCTCACTTATCTATATTTTTCTTACAGTAATATTATTGGTGAGTTAGGCACCTTTCACTCTCATCTTACAAATTTGCTCAATTTAGATTTGTATTTACATCTATAATTTAATAGAGTATGTTAACATTGATTAAAAAAAATAACATAGGACACATTTAAACTCAAATGGCTCGTTTTGATAGGATCCATTCCAACTCAAATTGGAGTTCTTCATAGTCTTATCTCTTTAGACTTGTCTAACAACAATCTTAGTAGTAAGTTATGCACCTTTCACTCTCATCTTACAAAATTTGCTCAAGTTTTATTTACCTCTATAACTTAATAGAGCAAATTCATCCTTAATTTTTATTTGATAAGAAATAAGCTCTAATACATTTACAACTCAAATGACTAGCTTCAACAGGTACCATTCTAACTCAAATTGGGGCTCTTCCAAATCTCACTTATCTAGACTTGTCTTACAACAATATTATTAGTGAATTATGCACCTTTCACTCTTATCTTGCAAATTTACTCAATTTAGATTTGTATTTATATCTATAACTTAATAGAGTATGTTAACCTTGATAAAAAATAACATAGGACACATTTGAACTCAAATGACTGGCTTTGACAGGTACCGTTCCAACTCAAATTGGAATTCTTCATAGTCTTATCTATTTGGACTTGTCTAACAACAATCTTAGTAGTGAATTATGCATCTTTCATTCTTTTCTTGCAAATTTGATCAAGTTTTATTTACCTTTATAACTTAATAGAGCAAATTCATCCTCAATTTTTATTTGATAAGAAATAAGCTCCAATACATTTACAACTCAAATGGCTGGTTTCGACAGGTACCATTCCAAAATAAATTGGAGCTCTTCTAAATCTCACTTATCGAAATTTGTCTTAAAACAATATTATTGGTGAGTTATGTGCCTTTTACTCTTATTTTGCAAATTTGCTTAATTTAGATTTGTATTTATATCTACAACTTAATAGAGTATGTTAACCTTGATAAGAAATAACGTAGGACACATTTGAACTCAAATGACTGGCTTTGACAATACCATTTCAACTCAATTGGATTTTTTCATAGTCTTATCTCCTTGGACTTGTCTAACAACAATCTTACTTAGGGGGTGCTTGGATAAAAATAAAACCATAATTTCAGAAGTGTTTTTATAGTATACGAAGTAAATATATAGAAGAGTTTGTCTCGATTTGCGGAAAAATACTACTGAAAAGTGCTCATGGAGTTTCCCAAACACCCCCTTAATTACTTTCCACTTTGCTGAACTTACTTGTTTGGAATTGTTTAATATGAATATAGTCGTTCCTTTAGCATTGTGTTTCATGACAAATATCAAAGGCTTACATTTGTGCACAAATTTACTTACTATATTATAAAAACTAGTACCATATTTGAATTTTCATGGAATTGTGATAAGTATCATTCCAATTCAGATAGGAGCTCTTCAATATCTCACTTCTCTGGTTTTGTCTTGCAACAACCTTGGAGGTGTGCTACCTTCCATCATTGCCAAATTTATCTAAAATTGCTAGATTTGGGTAGAAACAAAATAACTAGAGTCATTCTTTAAACTTTGGATTTTATGACAAATCTTGGCATCTTATATATATACTCAAATTTATTCATTGCAGGTGATATCCTTCTTTGATTTTCAATTTGAGAGATTTACAACACTATGTTGTTTCTCAAAATCAATTAAGTGGTAGCATGCCAGCAAAATGATGAAATTTCAATAATCTCGTTCATGTAGATGTCTCCCAAAATAATCTGAGTGGAAACATGTAATGACCTAAGAATTTGAGAATTTTTGAAGATCAACAATAATTAACTAACTGGTTGAGTAAGTTAATAATTAAATAGCAAAAAAATTATTAAAAAAAAAACAGGGGGGGAGAAACATTGGGTATTGTTGAAGGTAGTAGTATTGGTACTTTGGTAGTAGTAACAAGAGAGGGGGGAAATTTCCAGAACTTTCTGCGGGCTCCAACCTTGAACCCCATCGCCATTTATTCTCCCCCATTTTCCTTTTTCTCTTGGGGGCGATCGCAACAGCAAATGAAGGGAGGAAATTTTTGTAGAAGCTCTAATTGATTTCTCCTCTGCTCAGCTTTGCTTTCTTCTTTTTCTCTAGTTCGCTGATACTTTCAATGGGAGAGATGGAGAAGATTTCTGGACTGCTATACGAATTCCTGAATTCCTCAATTTTTTTTCTTTCTTGGGTACGTCCTTGGGCGTATGTTATGTGTGAAACCTTCTCCCTCCTTGCTGCGTCAGTGCGTATACATTTGTATGGGAGTTTCGATCCTCCGCTTGCTGTTGCGTGTGTTGTGTAGATTGGGGAAAAAATGCTTAGGTGGGTCGAAACACACACACACACACACACACACACACTATATGGGACTTCTTTGGTTATTTTAAATGTTGAGTTTGAAATTGTATGGTTGATAATTTATGAACAGTGGTGTTTGTTTGTGTCTTGGTATTGGGTTGCTCACAAGGTCTTTGATGGAATGATTGAATGAGAAATTATAAGAGGTACTGTATATGTGATGAGGAATTTGTTTCGCTTACTGGAAACGTCATGTGTGCTGCATAGGTTTGATGGAAGATATCTTTCCTCCTTATGGGGTAGTATATACAGGTTTAAAGTTCTATGATGTTGGGTGCAAGCGGTAAACTAAACAAGAATCGATTCAAATTGTTTGAGATCATGATTGGTTGTAATCCTATCCGGTGTTACTGGAAATTTTTGCTCAATAACTTAACAAAGTTTGATAAATTAAAGGAATGGCTTAAAGGTGCTGTGGGTAGATTTTACCTTGTGGAATTATTGAAAAGTTCTAATAAAACTAAGGAATTATTGGAAAGGTATCGGGTGATATTTCAAAGATGAAAGTTGCTAAAACTCTATTTTGGAATCTAAGGAGATAGATGTTGCTCGGATGTATGTAAATGTTGCAGTGGCCAACTTGGATTACTAAATTGAATCTTAAAGCATATATAAAACAGAAGTCGACAAATTTTCTTATGTTTGATTGAGTTTTGATGGGATTACTTATTAGAAATGATACATGCATCTTATTATTAAGAATATATTATTGATTAAATTTTATATAGTATTTCACATGGGAAAGGCTGAAATCAAGATTTTTATTCCTATCTTTTTAAATTGATGAGAGTATATTTCGGTTGTTGTTATGTTGTTGGAGGTTTTGCTTAGTTAGTTATAGAAGTGGCTGAAGCTTGAATGTCAATAATGACCATTATGTAACGGCACTGTTAAGCAATTTGAAGGAATGACTCTATTAAAAAGAATCATGCATTTGTTATAAAGTTTGTAAAAGAGAATAACAATGGTGAACTTTCATGCTAGGGCCTTTCGTTATGAAATTTTTACAAGTTTTCAATCACAAAGAAAAATCTTTGCCTGCTTATTGTAAACGGCCCCATGCATGTTTGAAAGTGATTTTGTGAGGACTGTATACAAAACGTTGGTTGCTAACAACAGCACTGTTAGCCTTTGACGCGCCGCGATTAATATCTAGCTTGCTTGTATTCATGGCTTCAACTGCGCTTATTCGTGGGTATTGTTCTCACACTTGTATTCATAGCTTCGCCTGCGCTTGTAATCGTGACTTCGGTCACACTTGTATTTGTAGCTTCGACTGTGCTTGTAATTGTGACTTCGGTCATTCTTGTATTCGTAGTTTCGGCTGTGCTTGTATTGGTACGTCATGGTTAATTTCGAGTTTGCTTGATATTCGTGGACATCGTTCCCATGTTTGTTTCATGGCTTTGGCTGCGCTTGACATTTGTGGCTTTGACCATACTTGTATTCGTGGCTTCAGCCGTACTTGTTAGTTACTTGTCCTCGTGGACTGTGTGTTCGCGCTTGTTTCTTGTTCTGTTGAAGTCCTCAATTGGAAAAAAAAAGGTTTGATTTTATAAATAAGTTTTTAATTGTTTAGCTAATTTTGTATATATATTTTATGTTTGAATAGTTTACACAGAAACTAGAGGCAATTGTAAATCTTTTGTTTTATACAGCTATATCTTCATGCTTTATTCTTTCAACATGTGTTTTATTTTGATTTTATTTGATGAATTATTGATGGGATGTTATTTACTCAGGAACAAAAATATATACATATGTATTGTCCTTAAATGGTACTGTTGACCCTGCACCTCCAGCTTTATAATGAAGACTTTCATTGCTAATGAAAGCTTGCAGATTTTTTTTGGAATTAGTACTAACTGATGTGAATTTGAGTTTACATTCATGTAATTACTTTTATAATTCAGCCATAAGCAGGATCCTTTTTTTTTTTTGAGTTGTATAACGAATATATATATGTGTATGAAAATGACTTAAAATATATATACACATACATCCTCAAGATGATTTTATTAATGATAATATTACAAATGGTATTATAATCAGTCCATTAAATGTTTTATTAATTGTTTTAAGGTTTAAGGAATGTGAATTGTCTCATATTCCGTGCCGGTCATTCCTAAATTGTTGGGGTGTGACAAAACATATCATACATTTTAAATGATTTTTTTTAAGGTAACTTTAGTCACAACAAATTTAATGGAATATTACCATCTAGTATATGCATTGCTCCACCATTGTGTAGCATTGATTTGAGCTAGCTACAATACTATCTCTGGTAGCATATGTGGAGAACTTTGTAGCCTTTGTAGGCTATAGTATATTGACTTGTCATACAATCTTCTCAGCAGCTATGTTCCAAGTGAAGTCTATAACTGTTTACATTATCACTATTTAAAAGGCAATAAAGAATTACTTAGTTCAGAGAAGGTACATAAAGGCTCAAAGTCTTTGCTAAAAATCATTATTTTTCTGAAAATTTTTCTTTTTATCACATTTGTTGTGGGTTTCATCTTATTTAAATCATTTAGAAAGAACAAGAAATTCATAAGGGAGACAAGAAAAGCAAAAATTGGGGATTTGTTTTTCATATGGAATTATGATGGAAGAATTACATATGAAGACATCATTGAAGCAACAGAGGACTTTGATATCAAATATTGCATTGGAATGGATGCATATGGAAGTGTTTATAGAGCACAACTTTCAAGTGGCGAAATCATGGCAGTGAAAAAACTCCATAGAAGAGAATATGGAAATGTATCTTTTGCCAAGAGTTTTAATGGTTTTTGTTTGCATAACCAATGCATGTTTCTCATTTATGAATACAAGAAAAAAGAAAGCCTTGTTTATGTGTTGAATAATGATGATGAAGCAAAAGAGTTGAATTGCAGTGAGTGAATGCTATTAAAAGGATAACAAATGTTTTGTTGTATATGTATGATGACTGTGCTCCTCTAATTATCCATTAAGACATAACAAGTAATAATATATTGCTGAGCTCAAATATGGAGGCTTTTCTATCGGACTTTGATATAGCTAGAATCATTGATCTAGATATATCTAATCAAACTCTTTTAGTTGGTATTTATGGTTATGTTGCTCTAAGTGAGCTTTTCAAATTCTTTACTAGTGCTTCTTTTGTGTTGTATTTTATTTTTATAGTATATTACTTATGTTAGGATATATACATAATTTATTTAATTTTTGGCCCATTACAAAGCTTGCATACACCTTAGTTGTTACTGAAAAATGTGATGTTTTCAGTTTCAGGGTAGTGACATTAGAAACACTTATGGGAAGACATTCTAGAGATTTGATATTATCTTTGTCAAAAACTTGTATAGGAAGCATTTTGTTAAAGGATATTTTAGACTCACGTCTCCTTTTGCCATGACGGAAAGATGCAGAAGACGTGACTTTTCTGGTCACAATAGCATTAGCATGCTTAAACCCATCTCCTAAATCTCGACCATCAATGCAACAAGTGTTTCAAAGGCTTTATTTACAAACCTTCAGTTAGTCTTTCCTTTTAACAATATCTCAATCCAACATTTAGCGAATGAAGATATGCCAATAATGTAGTAAAAAGCTTGGACATTTGGCTCATTGTTTGCTTTGTACATGAGATGAAACCTTTAAAGACTTGCTTCAAAGTCTAGATTTGAAGTTTTCCATGTGTTTAATTTCTTGTAGTTGATATTTGTCTTATTTTGTTTAAATAATAAGGTGTTAAAATTGAATTATAAGAAATGTATACACAAAAGCAATCTTACCAAATCCACCTCTACTTATAATGTTTTTGTTCTAAAGTTGTCTATTGCAACTTGAAACTTTTCAAGCTGACCAAAATGAGTTTCAAGGGCCTTTTCAGATTAGCTGCCAGTAAAAAGGAAAAATGTTAGTAAATCGATTACTGCTATCATATAAATCATCAATCATTATATATAGCATCTTTTCTATTATTCAACTTATTAACAGGAACATCAAAGAAATAATCTTGTTGTCTCTTCTTCCATTAATAAACATTTAGAGTAATAACAACTCCTTTAGCACTATTGCCTAGAACTGTCAAGTAGAACAGAGTGGTCAACAGAATTTTGATATGTTCCCGTTCATTAATGACTATGAGCTTACACTTCATCATTACACACACACATGTATATAAAACTTAATTTCTACATTTACCTAAGATTATTGAAATTTAGCAGGAACACTCATAGGACTTGCGGTGAATTAAAAGTAGTCAAGGTTATGGGAATGAATCCTATCACGCTGGTGTTGTGGAGATGCCAATTTTAGAGAGCATGGAGGATTAGTTTGAGAATAATAGCATGCTAAGATAGAAAGATATGAAAATAATGGACAAGCAGTTTATCTTTTAATAAGGTTTAGAATGTTTTACTCTAGTTCTGATAACATATGACTCGTTCCTGAGGAAGTAAATTTACTAAAACAAGAAAATCCACCGTTGACTTGAAGATTCTTATCATAAATATTCCCCAAAATTTAACTTTAGTTATGCTATGCAACATTAATAACTTATATTGTTTCTTTATACGAAAACAACTAATGAAATTTTTGGATGGAATAGAAAACAGTTAGAAAACAATCAATCTATTCATTGTAGAGAATAATAGATAATAGAGCTTGGAATCCAACCATTAATTTATCTTGAAATCAATGATCATTTGATTGCAAGCTCATTTTTATTCATACTTCCTAGAATACATCAGACAGCAAAACAAAACCCCCTTCACAATTTACCGTCAGTAAGATAAATTCACAGGGAAAAAGATTAGGAATAAGACTACAGATGTATTTTCTTCCTCTTGTTGCTCGCCTTCAACTAGGCATGCTCAAAGCCTTTATAACTATTTGAATGATAACAATCTGTTGTTAAGAAGAACAAGCAAAATGTCAAGCCAAAAAAATGTAGTTTTTAAAGCTTGCCCAGTGTTTCTGGGATGCTACCAGGTATGTGATTCATGTGCAGATCTAAGCTCACCAAATTTGTCAAACATCCAAATTCATCTAGGATTTGCGTAGTTATATTATTACTAAGAAATTCCCTGACATAGAAAAGAACAAAAATTTGGACTTGAGTAAAAATTCGGTAAGGAGCTGTTGAATCTAATGGTTGATATAGTGAGGTTCATTTCTTGTGTCTTAAGGGAGTGTTTGGATGAAACCAAACTATGGTTTGGAAAATAGATTCTGGAAAAAATAGATTTTATGAAGAATAGATTTTGTGAAAAAGTGATTTTGAGAAGTGAGAGTGTTTGGATAGTTGTTATCAGAAACACTTTTTATATGTACAAATTATTAAAAAAAGTATAAGTTAATATGATAATTACATAAAACATAGATTGTATGATATATTTTAATTTGAAGGAATAAAATTGTTAATAATATATTTTTTACCAACATAATTAATAATACATAGATAATGTAATTAATAAATAATTAATATGTGTATATTTATTTATAAGATATAAGATTAAATATGTTTATAAAAAATTAATTAAGGGCTGTTAAAGTCATATTATTGTTGAGATTTACTCTAATAGGCACAATCATGCTTTCCAATTTGAGCCAGAAGCAGAATGGATTCACTTCTCTCGAAAGCATGGTTTCGGGTTCCAAAACCATGGTTTCAGATAATTTATGCCTGTTTGGGTTGTTTTTTTTTTCAAACCATGGTTTGGCCTGCTATCCAAACAGGGCCTTAGTCCATCCAAAGAAGCACCCCCTTGATCTCAGGATATCCTCTAATCTCCAATATACAAACACACATGAGGGTGAATTCTAAAGATCTATCTTTATTTTCTAAAGTTTCTTTCCTGTGAAATAATAATTAAAATATTTGTGTTTCTTTTCAACCAAACTATTGGGATGAAGGATGCTTAACTTATTCCCTCAACCCGATTACCTTCCAGTGAAGTCCCAAGTTATTCAAATGGTAATGACTGTATAGTCAAAGCTAAAATTTCATCATCTTTTTTGTGTGGGATGGCACTTATTGAAAACATAATGCTAAAAATTAAAGTAAAAAGGGATTGGGAAAAAAAAATGCTAATTTGGGAGCCAAGTTATTGGGCTTTTGATGGCTCAAATAGCCGCCCACAACTTTTATCAGAATGGCTTGTACTGGGAATCAGTTTTATGACTAATGTTATGATGACCGTTGCTGTGAGATTTACATTATTATAATGCATTTTTAACAGTTTAGATTTAAAATTGTTAACTGGTGGTTTTTAAGTAAGAAAATAATTCTTAAATACTGACAGAAGATAATTTTTATTTTAGACTTTACACACATTAAAATATTAAATTATCAAAAAATATTAGATTAAATATGAACTGTTTTATTTTTATTTTGATCAGTTCAGATTTTGAAACTGAACCGTCCTAACATGGGATCATTTGCATTTACCTAACACTCCCTCTAGTTATATTTATAAGTTTCAAATTTACAAAGGAGTGAGATTCATTTTATAAGTTTCAATTTAGGATGTCTTAATATTTGATTTTTTTAACGTTACCCTTAATTGTTTCTTTATTTTATATTTTCTCACATATTCTCTTTCATTTTTTCGCATTTATTATAAGGGCATATTTTAAAAACAAAATTATATTTTTAATTTATATATTATTTTTAACTAATTATTTATTATCCGTAAATTAGTTATTTAAAATTTATAATAAGGAGCAGAGTGAGTAATTCTCTAGTACATATTTTTGTTTTGCCATGGATTCTCTAACATGTATTCCTCTAACCCTATTTATAAGGTAAAGAGAAAAGTTTTTTTTTTCCTATTTATCTGTCACCTCATTAAATTTTTAATATAAATGGACTATTTTGTTTTTCTCTTATTATAGTATAGATATTTATTTTTTTAAAAAAAGTGTATATATTAAATAGGAGTACAGTTAAAAAATTGTTATATTTTAAAAAAGAGTTAATGTAGTTTAAGGTTTTTCTTTTCTTGGTCATATAAAATATGTTGGAAGCGCCGTATAAATAGAATAAGAAGAATATTACTCTCATCGATATTTTTTTCATATAGCTTTATTAACAAGTGGTGTAATAATTGAAAAATCTAGTCAAAGTTAATTAAAGTTTTTAAAATTTCGAAATCAGCTGAAATGATTTTGTCCAAAAAATAAAAATAAAAATAAAAACCTCATTGAAGTCGGCAATGTCCCCCTCAGCCCACATGTTATGATTATTATGTTTATATAAAATATATTGGAAGTTTCCTCTAGATAGAATAAGAGGAATATTACTCTCATCGATGTTGTTTTCATTTGGATTTATTACAGGGAAGCCGGTAATGGCCATCTCACATGTCATGGTTATTCTCGTCGTTTTGAGCCATACATGCTCCAATGACTTTGACGTTTGACCATGACTCATGAATTACGTCTTTAATAAAACGTGGAACAAGAAGCTGAGAAGTTGTCTGATTATTGTAAGTATCAAATTAAAAACAACCAATATATTATATATATTGAATGCAGCGTCATGAGGCATCGCATTGAAGTAAAACTGGCCCGGCTTTCATCATTAGAATTTTGTAAGTAAATTTTCCTGACAAAGGTGCCTCTCTTGTTTTATTTACAAGACATTTTCTTTTTCAACATATTTACGTAAAATTGATAAAAATCTTAAACCATTTAACATTTTTGTAAAATATAATAAATTTTCAATTTTATTTTATTTAATATATACATTTTAAAGTAAAATAGTATATTTATATTAAAATTTAATAAAATACTTGTAAATAGGATAAAAAAATTTTTATAAATAAGATAAGATGAGTATAACTATAAGCGAAGACTTCATAGTAATATTGACTTGGTGATTCGGGAATGATAATTGAATTCCAATAGGGCGGGGCGGCCCCAGCACCAACGCCACGTTATAATTATTATGTCCGCTCCTTCTGAGCCATACACGCTACAGTGACTTTGACGTTGGTGGTCACTCATTAAATGCCTCTTAACAAAACGTAGAAAAAGGTAGCAAATTTTCTGACAGGGGACTGCCACTGCAAGGGAAGACTTATAGTACTCTTTCTGTCGTTTAATATAGAATTTAATTGTTGAGTTGATTTTGATCATAAATATAAGACTCATTTATCATATTTATTAATTTTTTCTAAATTACTCCTAATGATATACTCCCTCAACCATAATCAATAGAAGAAAGATATGAGGTATTAAAAAAGATGATTACGGTATTTTAAGAAAAACATGTCTCATTTCTTATAATTACCTAACTTACCTAACTTTTTTAATCTAATCAATTAATAAATAGATATTATTAAGAATAAAAAAAGTACATTGACTTGGCGAGCGAGAATGATAATTGAATTCCAATAGGGTGGGCCGCCCCGGCACCACGCACCCATTATGATTATTACGTCCACTCCTTGCGAGCCACACACGCTCCAGTGACTTTGACGTTGACGATGACTCGTTAAATGCGTCTTTAACAAACGTAGAAAAAGGTAAGTAGATTTTTCTGACAGAGGAGTGGCCCTACAGGGAAGACTTTATGTACATTGACTTGTTGATGAGACTGATCAGTGAATTCCAATAGGGCGGGCTGCCCACAAACGCGTTTTATTTATCATTTTTTTCCCTGTTTTTATTTTTTTTATAGCCCTCGTAGTTAATTTATCACTTAACACATGTCTTTAGAATCATTTAAGAAGTTAGGCGGAATTAGCATATGCTCAAGTTACATTACACTTAGGATGGGCCAAGAGCCATAAGGGGAATAATTTTTTAATAAGTACAGTTTCTGAAATTTGAATTTGTATTTTTTTATATATAGTAAGACACTGCTACCTCAATTAACATCTTGTTAGTAAAGTCATATAAAGTACAAATTTGTTCCGTAAGTTTTCAGACACTAGGAAGTTTCTTTTATATATATATATATAAATTTGCCTCAAAAGTGTAAAAATCATAACTTTTTTCCTACTGTTAAAACACTAACATTGATCGGTTAAATAGTAATATGACCGTTAATATTTTAACAGTATGAGACAAACTTGTTAAGATTTTAAACATTTAGGATAAATTTACAATAAAAGAAAGATGATTACGGTGTAAAATTTATTAAAGAATAGTTATTGATAAAAGAAAGATATCTGTTGCTTTTTAGAAAGTAATTATTTTAAGCATTTGTCTTGAAAAGGACAAATCAAAACAAACTTTTTATTAGCTCTATATTTAAAATCAAATGAGTATTATTTTTAATAAAAATTAAATCATCTTCCTATGTAAAGGCCGAACCTCTCCACTATCATGTGCACCACTCAAACAATGAGCACTGTGATATTACTATTATGCCATGCTGCTCCTTTCTTCCCCATTATTGCCACTACCATGATAGCTGAGGAGAAACAGAAACATGCTCTGCATTAGGGCAATTGGCAGAATGCCTCCACCCTTTCTGGAATTATATGGAATCTGTACGTAGAAGCATCAAATAAAAACTCAATAATAATTTAATAAACTTGCATTGTACATAACTGATTAAGAAAAATGTCATACTCAAATGGCATGGAGATTGCCAAATTGCGACATATTTGACACTTTTGGCACCTATACATATATGTGTGTGCGTGCGCGTGCATGTGTGTAATATGATTATGAAGGATTTAGGAGGAGGAGGTGACGCCACTAATAACAACAACAAAAACAATCTTTAATTTTGTCTAGCATTAGGGGAGGTTTTTGGTGAAAACCAAAACTGCATTAAGAATAAGAAAATACAGGAAATCCAAAAAAAAAAAAAAAGCAAAACAGGAGGATGTGAAGAGCAGACTAATCCCTGTTCGGCAAATGCTTATAAGCAAATTATGTAAGATGAAATGAAATTTTCCTTATATACTTATCTTGTATTATGTGAATCTTAACAAAAGAACTGTTTTTTAAATGAAGCATCACCATTCCAAACAAACAGTAAAAGATTAATCTAATTTGATGGCTGAGTTATTGGGCTTTTAATGGTCTTTTTATAAGGCTTCATTAACAACATGGTATAAAGACAAAAAAACAAAAAATAAAAGCTAAGGGGAGACTACTCCTTGTAGTGTCAATTAAACTTAATAAGCTTAACTAAGGTCGTTGGAGTTTATCTTTTAGGATTTGGATCCTTGTAGTTTAAACTCATGCTGCTAATAATTAACTGTGCTGATATGGCTTAATAGCGTTAAAAATAATTATGTGGCAAATGGTGTCAATACAAAAAATTGCCTAAAATTACTTGAAGATTTTAAAATTCTAAAATTATCCCAAATAATTTTAGTCAAAGAATAAATAAATAAAAATATCAACCAAATCAAGTCTTCTCATCACACACGTTATGATTATGTCCATTTATCTTGAGGAGGCGTACGCTGCTCAAGCCATTTTGACGTCGACGTTGCCTTATATACAAAAGGGGTTCTTTAAAATCTAGGAAAAAAAGTGTAAAATTATGTAATTTTTGCTAACAAAATAAAAAGCACCAAAATAGATTTTTTTTAATTAAAAAAAGCAGCAATATAGATATTGAAAGGCCATGTGAATGAGCCGACTACATTGATTAATAAAGTGTTTTGGTGAAAAATCAATACCATATATGAGGTAATAATGTGAAAAGTTTTATATAGACTTGTGTCTTACTTTTTAAAAGTGTTTTTTTTTTTTTGAGTAGGATGTTATCGCTAACTCAGGGTATCCCAGCGTATCGGCCAGACTATCCCAGGGTGCCTGCCAGGAATCGAGCCCATGACCCGGTAGGAGAACGCGGCTTGCGCCCCGTTGGGACAGTCGGATCCAACCCTTGCAGGATTAAAAGTGTTTTTAAGTAAACTAAACACTCCTTTGAAAAAAAGAAAAAGCTCAAACAAGTTTATTTCTTTCTTCCACTATTTTTATTATGGGAAGTAAATGCATTCAGCTTTCCTTATTAGAATAACAACCTTCCTAAATCGGCTTGGATGCTAATTTTGGTTATCATTTTGAATCTTTCATTAACCAATGATGATTAGTTGTATTAATTGTCATTCTATAATTTTACTAACAGTAATTACAATTCGAATGTTTTTTCAACTAGTTACAATTCCAATTATTTCAAATACTCTTTTCTAGTAAGAAACGGGGCAAAAAGCCTTATAAACTTATATTCATCAACAAAACAAAAACGTGGGTAAGAAATGTTCACTAAGTCCTTCAGATAAGTATCTACCACATCACTGGGGGGCATCCAACCTGTGCAAATTGTTTAATCTTTCCCATCCCAAAATATAAGCCACTTAGGATATAATGTTTTTTTTCCCAATTTAGTCCTGCTTGAAAATATGTAGTCCCTTGCAGATGCAAAGCATCGATATCTTCAAATTTAATAAGAACAATGCTGGAAAGTATTATTGTTATTTTTTAAGTAAATTTATGAGTTAAATTTGATTTTGCTCTCTTTCTTTTTCTTTATCTATTTGCACGTAATAAGTAAACCGACAGGTGTGCTGGTAAAAAAAAAAAAAAAAAGCCGACAGGTGAGTACAGGTGAGGAAGACTTTGATATTGACTTGGGCGCGCGGTTGAGAATATAATGATAATTTCATCCCAAGAAGGCGGCCCCGCGTATGTGCAACTCGTTTTCTTTGTTTTAATTATTTATTTTGCGAACGGTTTTCTCTATCTTTTATTACGCGGTGTCATTGGACGACATTGACGTGGAAACAACATACTTCCAAAGCCCAGGTAATTAAGCTTTTGTCTATATAAAGTCTCTACGATGGGTGCATTCATTATTGTGTGATCACCGCTTTGTGCAAACATAATTAAAGGAAGATGGGTGTGATGATATTGGTATTGTTACTACGCTTTGAGATATCTTGCTCCCAGCAGATTAATATGATAGAAGAGGAGAAACGAGCTCTGCTTCAGACCAAATGGTGGGGTTTTGGTGACAACTTCTCAGGCATATATTGCAATGAATTTGGAAGCGTTATCGATATTAGTCAGCCAATGACCACTCCAAAGGACGAAATTCAGCTAGCAGATCTAAACTTCACTGCATTTCCCAACCTACAACATTTGGATCTTCATCAAATGGGTTTGCTAGGTACTGTTCCTACTCAGATAGCAAGTCCTTATAATCTCAGGCACTTGAACTTGTTTAATAATAATTTTACTGGTAAGTTATATAGCTTTTGCTTTCATTCTTACCTTGCAAAACTCTGTTAATTTTAAAATGTTATATTTACCTCCACACAGTCTAATACATCTATTGCCAAGTACCATTCCAACGTAGATAGAAACTCTTCAAAATCCTACCATTATTTATTTCAAAACAATCTTGCTAGTAAATTAATTAACATTTACTCTTACCAAAACTCACTCATATACTGGCAAGTTGACATTTATTCTAGCTTCTACCGGTGAACTTTTATGCATCAGTTGGATTAGGAGAACTATGTTTGTGAACTTTGGTTATCCGGTTTTTAAAATATTGATGATCTATCACTTCCTTTTTCTGGAATTTTAGAAGAATACAAAATAGGAGGAGGCAAAATTAATAGAAGAGACTGAAAACCAAGCTAATTTTTTGTAGCTAAGTTATCGGGTTTTGGATGTCCCAAATGTTTGCTTGCAATTTTTATCGGGACACCTGCAATAAGAACAAGTTTAAGTGCTTATTGTAGGGATGATCACCATTATCCTCATCACTACAATGACATTATGAACAATTATAGTTTTAACTATTTAAATTTATAGTTTTTTAACCAATGATTTTAAGCACGTAAAAAATTATTTTCTTGAAAATGTGAATAATTAAGATATTATTTATATTTTAAATTTTTGCATAGATAGAAATGTAAAATTATTTAAAACATAAAAATAAAATTACATTTAATCTTATCGTTCAATTTTATTTTGAATGGCCCAGATTTCCAAACTGAATGCCCTGCATAAGGGGTTAGCTATATTTATCCATTAATTCTCCAGCATGTATTGCTACATTTGATTCTTTTTATAAGGCTTTATTAATTTTTTTAATATTTAAAAATTACCTGACATGGTTTTGTCAAGAAAAAAAAAATCAATGAAATCTCCTCTTCCAATCACACACGTTATAGTTATGTCATTTTGTCGTGAGGCATACTGCAACTTTGATGTTGACGATGGCTTACAAAAAGGTGTTTAGAACGTAGAAAAAGAAGTGGTAAAGTTGTGAGTTTTGTGATATCAAATGAAAAGTGCCAGTCAAAATATACAGTACTCCCTCTGATCAACTGGTGGAAGATTTCCAAACTCTTCAGACGACCCTTGTGAGTATATTGCAATGATAATGGAAGTGTTATTTGGATAACACCCATCTATGGACCCATTTTTCAAGCCAGCCCTGGGTAGCAGATCTCAACTTCACTGCATTTACTAATCTTACAGAATTGGATCTTAGAGAAATAGGATTGATAGGTATGATTCAAATTCAAATAGGATCTTAGATAGCAAGGAAATTAAAGCTGAAGTACATAAATCAGTTTGCGATACAATTTTCTCAATGGCATTCCAACTCAAATTGGACTTCTTTATTGTCTTGTCCCTTTGAACTTGGCTATCAACAATCTTAATGGTGAGTTATGCACCTTTCACTCTCATCTTGCAAATTTGCTAAGGATCTATTTACCTCCATAACTTAATAGGGCAAATTCATCTTCAAGTTTTATTTTGTAAGTAATAAGCTCCAATAGGTTTTCAACTCAAATAATTGGTTTCGATAGGTACCATTCCACGTCAAATGGAAGATCTTGCGAGTCTCACTTATCTAGACTTGTCTTACAACCATATTGTTGGTGAGTTATGCACCTTTCACTCTCATCTTGCAAATTTGCTCAATTTAGATTTGTATTTACATCTATAATCTAATAGATTATGTTAACCTTGATAAGAAATAATGTGGAACACATTTCAACTCAAATGACTGGATCTGACAGGTACCTTTCAAGCTCAAATTGGACTTCTTTATAATCTTATCTGTTTGAACTTGTCTAACAACAATCTTAATGGTGAGTTTTGCACGTTTCACTCTTATATTGCAAATTTGCTCAGGTTGTATTTACCTATATAACTTAAAATAGCAAATTCATCCTCAATTTTTATTTGATAAGAAATACGCTCCAATATAGGTGCCATTCCAACTCATATTGGAGCTCTTCCGAATATCATTTATCTAGACTTGTCTCATAATAATATTATTGGTGAGTTATGCATCTTTCACTCTCATCTTGTAAATTTGCTCAAGTTTTATTTACCTCTATAACTTAATCGAGCAAATTCATCCTCAATTTTTATTTGACAAGAAATAAGCTCCAATGCATTTACAACTCAAATGACTGGCTTCGACAGGTGCCATTCCAACTGAAATTGGACTTCTTGGTGGTCTTGTTTATTTGGACTTGTCTAACAACAATCTTAGTGGTGAGTTATGCACTTTTCACTCTCATCTTGCAAATTTGCTCAAGTTTTATTTACCTCTATAACTTAATCGAGCAAATTCATCCTCAATTTTTATTTGACAAGAAATAAGCTCCAATGCATTTACAACTTAAATGACTGGCTTCGACAGGTGCCATTCCAACTGAAATTGGACTTCTTGGTAGTCTTGTTTATTTGGACTTGTCTAACAACAATCTTAGTGGTGAGTTATGCACTTTTCACTCTCATCTTGCAAATTTGCTCGAGTTTTATTAACCTCTATAACTTAATAGAGCAAATTCACCCTTAATTTTTATTTGTTAAGAGATAAGCTCCAAAACCTTTACAACTCAAATGAGTAGCTTCGATTGGTGCCATTCCAACTGAAATTGGAGCTTTACCAAGTCTCAGTTATTTAGACTTGTCTTACAATAATATTATTAGTGAGTTATGCTCCTTCTGCTCTCACAGTTCAAATTTACTCAATTTAGATTTCAAATAGCCTACAACACATTTGCAGTTCAACTGGATATTAAAATTGTTACAAGACACAAGCAATCCTAATTAGTTCATCTTCCTAGAAAGTTCAATAAAAAAAATTAGAGTGGATGTTAGAAGACACAATCAATGCTAATTTGTTCATCTTCCTAGAAAATTCAATAAAGAGGTTTAGAGTAGATGAAGAAGGATACCTCGTAAACATGATGCCGCACTTCTGTCAAGAACAGATAAGCATATTCCTTCATTGTTCGCCCACCACTTTTCTACCCCATAATTGTTCAACCCTATATACTTTTCATTTGTGAAAGGAATAAAGAAAATTACATTGACCTAGATAGAATAACCACTAACCCCCCAACCCACTCTCATCATTCCCATAGCATTAGTATGATATATATGAGTATGAAAACAAATGGTTGGGCAACATGTGAGGTCTAATTAAGTAGTCTTGTAAGAAGAAAATTCAGATAAATTTATGTTTAGCCACATATATGAGTTAAATTCAGGGATTATTCCATCACAGATAGAAGCTATTTAAAATTTCACTTATTTAGACTTGTCTTTTAATATTCTTACTAGTGAGTTATATATCTTCTATTTCTATTCTTACCATGTAAATTTACTAAATTTTGAAATATTGTATTTACCTCCCCGCGATCTAACACCTCTATTGACAGGGATCATTCCATCATCGATAAAAGATCTTCAATATCTCCCTTATCTGAACTTGTCTTGTAACAATTTTAATAGTGAGTTATCTATTTTTCATTTCTACTCTTATCTTGCAAATTGACTAAATTTTGAAATATTGTATTTACCTCCACACAACCTAATACCTCTATTGACAAGGAACATTCCATCATAAATAAAAGCTCTTCAAAATCTCAATTATTTGGACTTGTCTTGCAGCTATCTTACATGTTTTCTACCTTCCACCCTTGCCAACCTTATTTAGAATCGCTAGATTTGAGTAAAACCAAGAAAATAGTTAGAGCCATTCTTTTAACTTTGTATTTTATGACAAATTTCCACAACTTCTATTTATAGTCAAATTTGTTCATTGTAGGTGACATCCCTTCTTTGATTTTCAATTTGGGATATTTGTGACATTTTGATGTTTCTCAAAATCAATTAAGTGGTGGCATGCAAGAACAATTAGGCAATTTCAAATATCCCACTAATATTGTAGATGTCTTCCAAAATAATATGAGTGGAAACATATCATACATTTTGAATGATTACTTTGATTTTGATGGTAACTTTATTAACAACAAATCCAATGGAATATTACCATCTAGTATATGCAGTTGTCCACCCTTATGTCGCATTGATTTGAGCTATAATAGTATCTTTGGTAGCATACCTAGAGAACTTGGTGTGCTACAGTACATCAACTTGTCATACAATCTTCTCAGTGGCTATTTCCAAGTGAATTTTATGGCTCTTTTTCTCATGACTTTTTAAATGGTGATGCAGAATTACTTTGGCCGAAGAAGATACATAGAGGCTCAAATTCTTTGTTGAAAATCATTATTCCTTTGACAACTTTTCTTGTGATCACATGTGTTGTGGGTTTCGTCTTATTTAAATCATTCAAGAACAAGAAATCTATAAGTGAGACAAGAGAAGCCAAAAATGGAGATTTGTTTTCCATATGGAACTATGATGGAAAAATTGCATATAAAGATATAATTGATGCAACAGAGGACTTTGACATTAAATATTGTATTGGAACTGGTGCCTATGGAAGTGTTTATAGAGCACAACTTCCAAGTGGCAAAATTGTAGCATTGAAAAAGCTTCATAGAAGAGAATATGGAAACACTTCTTTGGCCAGGAGTTTTCACAATGAAGTAAAGATGTTGAGTGAAATTCGACATCGTAATATTGTAAAGCTTTATGGTTTTTGTTTACATCATCAGTGCATGTTCCTCATCTATGAATACATGGAAAGAGGAAGCCTTTTTTATGTGTTGAATAATGATGACGATGCTAAAGAGTTGGATTGGAGCAAGAGAGTGAATGCCATCAAAGGAATAGCAAATGCTTTGTTCTACATGCATCATGGTTGTGCTCCTCCAATTATCCATCGAGATATAACAAGTGGTAATGTGTTGTTAAACTCAAACATGGATGCTTTTCTATCTGACTTTGGCACAGCTAGAATCATTGATCCAGATGCATCTAACCAAACTCTTCTAGTTGGTACTTATGGTTACATTGCTCCAGGTCAACTTTTCTGATTCTGTACTACTTCTCTTGCTGCGTTGTATCTTTTTTTACAATTACTTACCTCTAGACAATTACATAATTTCTTTATATTTTGCTTCATTGCAGAGCTTGCATACACCTTAGTTGTAACTGAAAAATGTGATGTTTATAGTTTTGGAGTGATGACATTGGAAACAATCATGGGAAGACATCCTGGAGATTTGATATTGTCTTTGTCAAAGACATGTTCTGAAAGCATTTGGCTAAAAGATGTGGTAGACCCACGTATCCCACTGCCATCACGAAAAGATGCACAAGACATAACTCTTTTAGTAGCAATAGCATTAGCATGCTTAAATCCATCTCTCCAGTCTCGGCCGTCAATGAAACTAGTGTCTCAAAGGCTTTCATCCTCCAACCTACCATTAGCCATTCCTTTCAATAATATCACAATCCATCATTTAGTGAATCAAGATGTGTAAATAATGTAGTATGAAGCTTGGAGATTCAGCTTATGTTTGCTTGGTACTTGTAACATCCTAAATATATCTTAATAAAAAAATATTATTATTTCAAAAAAATAAAATAATATTTTATCATTATAAATAATAATATTTTATTATTAAAATAACCCCAGCTTTTCTATCGAATTCAGTGGAAAAGTTGTAGGCATTAAAGAAGAAGAAGAATTTGGGAGAAATGTCATTTATTAAAGAAGGAAAATGAAGAGGAAATGGTTGAAGTTGAAAGATAAATAAGGAAGGATGATGGGATAAGAAGTGAGGTGTATGCAGAGAGAAAGAGAGAGAACAAGAATCAGAGAAACAGAGAACGAGAGAGAAGTATTAGCATTTTGAAAAGTAATACAAGCTTTATTGATCATTTAGGTACATAAAAGTACTTCTTTTTTAAAAAATTGGAAGTTAATGGTTAAGCTCTTAGTGACTTAGTTTTCTCTCTCTTGGTAACTGTGCCAAGAACTTGCATGTTATGGAAGACACAGGTCAACGCATAAACCCAATAGACCGGCTGGCAGACTTTGTCGAAGACGTTTGGACAAAAAAGAAGAAAGTAGAAGGAGTAACTGAAGCCGTTATGGATGATAACATGGATAAGAAAGATTCAAAACAAGAGAGTGAGAAGGTGGATTCAAGAAAGGAAAAAAACTCATCAGACCAGGGATGCGCAGAAAGCAATACAAGAACCCTTTCTTATAAGCAATCACTCCTAGGATTTAATGGAGTGGCCAACGGAGGTTCCTACATGGAATCATAAGAGATTCTACAAGAAGAGGATGATATCTTTTGGAAAATGCCGAAACCAACAGAGGAAGTTTAGAGGCTAATGAATATTTACTCGGTGGTTCCTATTTCTGAGGAAGAGTATAATGAGTGGTGCAAGCCGTGGAATTTCTCTCTGATAATAATAGTGCTTGGAAGGAGATACAATCTGTATGCTCTAAAAAGCCACCTCTCAAGACTATGGGGAATTTCAGATTTCAATCTGATAGACCTACCCAACAACTATTTTGTGGTGAAATTCACGAGTCCTGAGTTCTGGAAGGCGCATTACAAACAAGTTCTATATGGAGGACCTTGGGTCATTACTGAACACTGCGTTATGGTGCAGAGATGGACACCATACTTTGACCCCTTCAAGAACTCTTTGGGTTAGATTGTTACATGGATTAGAATTCCTTGTATTCCTATGCATTGCCATAATAGTCACTGTATAGCAAGATTGGGAGAACGAGTAGGTAAACCCTTAAAAGTTGATTTGAAAACTTTGGTAGATCCCTGCTCTGTAGAGACAAAAATAGAGAGAGCACTCTATGCCAAAATATATGTTGAGCTTGACTTATAGAAGCAACTTGTACCCAGAATCATAGCAGCAAATGAAGCGTTCAATGTTGAATACGAGGTATTAAAACTGATATGCTTTGAGTGTGGCCGCTATGGTCATAGAAGGGAGGCATGCCCATGGAAGAAATGTAAGTAAATTGAAAAACATGAAGGAAATAGAGCTCAACCAAACACAAATACACCAGAAAAACAACCAAAAAGCACAACTCCGACAAACCCTAAACCTTTCGGGCCTTGGATGTTCGTCTCGGGTCTGCTAAAGCTCGGGTTTCGAGGGAGAGAAACCAACGAGTAAGATGGCCTGTAGGGGGAAATGGTAAAAAAGTGGTCAGAAGAGAAGACCTGACCTCTACACGCTCTAGGTATACTGTGTTGGCAGCGCTTGAAAAGGAAGAAGGAATAGGGGATGGAGAAAACAGAGCCAGCGAAAAGGAGGTGGTTGGACTCCCTATGCAAAGGAATTAACAGTTGGTGATCTGGGAAAAGAAGAAGCCTATGAATGTGGGAAAAGAAATAGCAGCAGGAAGACAATTAGGTGGACCCCACAAGTCCTCTTCAAAGGCAAAGTCAAAAGGGGCCCAAAAAGCCTAAGGGAAGGAGAATAAATGGCCCAATATGGGAAAGAAAAATGAGACAGATGGCAACACTAAGCCCAGTGAGCAAACTAGTGATAGAAAGGACTAAATGGAACATGGACCGAAAGGGAAGGCCAAGTTGGCCTCTAAACAAAGAGTACACAATGTGATTAGTGGAGATGTGAGCCAAGCTAGCCAGGCAAGGAACCTGATGGTTAGCAAATCAACTGAACAGGGGAACAACGAACTCGTGAATCATACCACAAGCACAAACCAACATCGATATTCACCAACCATCAATGCAAGGAGCAAAAAGGAGCCAGTAATGGAACTCTATTTGGATTTAAAACTACCAAACCCTATGCTATTAAGTGGTAATAGAAGGGATATAGGGAGAGATGTAGTTGCGACACTAGCAAAGGAGGATATGGCAATGGTAGAAGCCGTTCCAGAGACACAGATAAGCAGATAAGTGCTCTTTTTTCCACTTTGTTTTTATTTACCTATGAATATTGCTGGTTAGAACTGCAGAGAAGTCGGCAGTTGGACTTTCCCCACAATAATAAAAGACATTGTTAGAAAGAACAGAATTGATATCTTTTGTATAATTGAACTAAGAATCAGTGGATCAATGGCAGATAATATAGTGAGGAAAATGGGTTTCTCAAATTGGATTAGAGTGGAAGCTACAGGATACACTGGGGGCATATGGCTTATGTGGAATGAAAAAGATTACACTATCGATTACATTTCTTCTAATTCTACACTGTCAAATCAAAAACAAACATTCCTCAGTAATATTTTTTAGATCCTTTATTTTTGGAGAGACAAATTATCATAAACGGCAAACTCTTGGGCAATCAAAGATCCCCAAGAGACAAGAGGGGAGGGGCAAGGCCGCTTATCACTTCCATGTCTGATTTTAGTGAGTGTATTGTTGATTCAGGTCCACTGGAATTCGAAGATCCTACCAACAGGTTCGCCTGGGAAAGAAGAGAAATTCATGCAAAGTTAGACTAGGTCTTTGGAAACATAGCTTGGAAAGTGAAATTTCTGCAATCCAGAATCTATCATGACTTGAAATATAAATCTGACTATAAGGTTATAGTCCTGTCTTCACATAGTCAAGAGAAACAATGTCACCCACCAAAACGGTTCCATTATCAAGCTGCCTGGGCTCTCGAGGATAGTTTTGATGATATTGTGAAAGAGGCTTGGAAAGAAAATAATTGGTGCCAAGGGGTGGTGAAATGTCAAGAAGCTGCAACTAAGTGGAACAATGAACACTTGGGAAGTATTATGAGACATAAACAAGCAATTCTGAAGCGAATGGAGGGCATTGAGAAACACAAAATGAGTAATCCTTCAAATGGGCTAGCTCGTGTGGAAGAAAACCTCTGGAATGAGTATAATAAATTAACTCTCCAAGAAGAAATGATCTGGTTTCAAAAAGCTCGATGCAATTGGCTTAAATGGGGCACAAGAACACCAAATTTTTCCATGCTTCAGTTGTGATCAAGAGGAAGAAGTAGAAAATCACAGCCTTACGAAATGACAGCAGGGAATGGGTACAAAACTTGAAAGAACTGACGTAGATGGCAAGTCACTTCTACCAACAGCTCTATACAAATGACAACCAGCTAGAAGAAGACTTGAGCTGGCTAGAAGGCTTCCCAAGATTGACACTATCGCAGGTTGATGAAATTCACAAAGAGGTGACCGACGTCAAAATTAAAAATGTTGCTTTCTCAATGGGAGCATTCAAAGCTCCTGGACTAGAGGGTCTTCAAGCATATTTCTTCCAATCCCAACAGAAGAAAGTGGGGTAGGCTCTATGTAAGTTAGTCAAAGAGGCTTTCTGAAATCTAGCAACTATTAGCAATTTCAACCAGATCAATATATTGCTCATCCCAAAAATAAACTAACTAATGACTTTAAAGGAACTGCGACCAATTTCACTATGTAACGTGAGCTGTAAAGTGATAACCAAGGTGTTAGCTACCAGACTTAGGCCAGTTATAGACCACTTAATTGGACAAGAACAGTGTAGCTTTATAGCCTCCAGATCAAGCTACGATAACATAATTATCGTCCAGGAAGCTATACACCGAATGAGAACTAAGACAGGTAAGAAGGGTTTTGTTGCAGTTAAAGTTGATATGGAAAAAGCTTTTGACCATTTGGATTGGGGCTACCTTAGAAACACTCTCCATTGTGTAGGACTAAAAGACAATTTGATTGAACTTATTGTGGCTTATGTTACCTCTGCTAAAATGAAAGTGCAGTAGAATGGCTTAGAGGGCCTTGAATTTACCCCTTCAAGAGGTGTTTGACAAGAGGACTCTTTAAGTCCCTACCTTTTTGTTTTGTGCATGGAGAGATTGGGTCATCTAATAAAACAAGAATACCAGAAGAAGAGGTGGAAACCACTAAGATTCAAAAGTAGTAGACCCCAGATCTCCCACTTCTTCTTTACCGATGATCTACTTCTTTTTACGGAAGCCTCCCTAGAACAAATAGAGGAAATCAAGCAAGTCATGTGGAGGTTTTGTAACATCTCAGGACACAAGATTAATCTGGACAAATAAAAAACTTCTTCTCGAGGAATCCTCATTTTAACCACACAATTCAACTAAGTTAATGTCTTGGGATTAGCATCACTCCTGATTTTGGAAAATACCTAGGTGTCCCATTAATACACTCAAGAGTGACAAAAAACACCTATGGACACATCACCCAAAGAGTCAAATCTTGACTCACTGCCTAGAAAGGAAGATTTCTATCTATAGCCGGGAGAACAATGCTTATCAAAACTGTGTTATCAGCTCTTCCCTCCTATCAGATGCAATCAACGCTTGTCACATCCCGAAGATTTTCACTTGGCTATAGGGAATTAAAAATTAGGATGAGGGTCAATGCAGGCACTAGACAGGGAGATGAAATAACTTTTGATGTGAAACTCTGATGAGGTCCAGGCTGGCATTTTCGTAATTATTGGTCTAGGAAAGGCAAAATGGGAAAATTTAAGAAAAATTCTAGAAGATTCCCAAAAAAATAGGAAAAGTGTAAAGTAGAGATTTTGAAAACTTAGTTGAGGCCCGAAAGGTGGAATTATGATGAAAATAAATTGTTACGA